CAATATCATTTTTTAATTATGTTACTCGTGTAATAAAAAAGTAATTTAGCTGTTTTATATTTGTTTCATTCGTTTTTGTTTTTATGCGAAAGAAGAATAAGTTTTTTAGATTTTCGCTATGGTATCTTTATAAAAAGTTCCACGAAATCGTAATCACGGAAACAAATAATAGTGAAGAAAAATATAGGAAAAAGAGGAAATAAAGTGACAGTGATTATATATTAAGACAAGTGATTGATGATGTGCATGACCATAAGAGTTCTCTAATGATCACGACGTTAAGAAATAGGGGAAATCAACTGATTTCAGAAAGTATTTAAAAAATATTTCAAGTTGTGTAATTTCATAAAATTTGTGTTAAATGCATTAACTGTACTTTCATAAACAATGCAAGTATAAGTTAGAATAGTAGTATCAAAAATGCTCATAATGATATTTCTATTACATACCTTTTATGTGCACTACAATCGCACAGCTAATGGCACCGGCCAAATATTGATTTCCATTAGTTTTCGTTGAAATATAAAGTGCCGTAGGTACTATAGGTATGAATAGAATGCTATTTTTTCTTTTCGGTTTCTTTAGACATTTTCGGTATTTTTAAGCTCGAATGTCGTCAATTTATTTACGATCACCGGCAAAGCACAAAATATACTTTGGTTGAGTATTAAGCCAAGATCGATGAATGATGGTGCGAATTCGACCCTATTCAGACAGTTGCGTCTGCTTCCAGAGTAAAAACGTGGAGGTAATATAATGTTTTAACGTGCTTGAAGTATATTTTATGAATAGGGGACGAACGGCGAAAATGTATTCAAAAGAAACGCTAGTCTATTGAGTCCCCGCGGACCGATTTATGCGACCCGTGTCCCTATAGATCAGAACTGATGAGAAATTGTATTATCTAATCAATGTCGTCGGCCGAGCGAAATGCTGAAAAGTTATTTCTCTTTCAATAGACGCTGTTGTAATCCAAACGCACGGGCAATCGGTTTTTTTCTAAATGAATTCTCGAGCCAATGGTTGTAAATTCAAATTGCTGGGAGACGCCGAATAACAACAGAGAAGCCATAAATGCGATAATAATTTCGAACGTATGGCTTACATGCTGGCGGGAAAAAAACAAAATTCGAGTACATCTGTTACTGTCAACGAGAGTTTTCCAACCGACAGTTTTAATTCGGTTTGCTCAAACTTTTGGCTTCCATACAGACGGTTCAAAATGATTATAATATGACATATATATTTTAATGAGGAAACCATTGCAGTGTATCTTGTAACTATAGACGATTTTCGTTTGTGTGATGACATGAGGCTGTGATGGAGCTGGCTATTGATTTCGACGTGTTTCGAATACTCCAAGGACTACAACGCAGAATTGTATAATATACTCTCCGGGGTTTATAAGGTTTTAGATACTATAAAAGAGTAAAATACCATTCTGGTACACGAGTGTTTGTTTCCAACATAATTTTGTTTTACACATTCTTGTAAAACTGTTGTAATGCAAGCGCTCAAAAGCGTATTTAATTATGCGTACAATTTAAAATGTTGAGTACGGAATACTATTTTCTGACAGAATGTTAGTGCATAATTAATGATCTGATGGCACGACGTGACATACATTTACGTATACTTGAGTCCACATTAACATAGTTCAAATCAACAACACGTTATGTAACTGGTAAAAATGTTTAATGTGAAAAAAAAATTCTAACGGGACATATTTGATAAAAGTAGCTAGTAAGTAAATTAGTGATACTTAGAGTGGGTTACTGATCAATGGCAAACTTTTTGTTGTAAATTTAAAGTTTTTTCCACCAGTGTAATAAATGTACACGAATTCGACTAAAGAATATACAAAATTATTTACATTTTGAAATTAAATACTGATTTTTAATTGTTAAAAATTAGCATTGGTTCGGGGTAACAATGAATTATGGTTTGTATAAAGGCATAATATGTATTATTCATTATGACAAGAAGTCGGCAAAGTGGGTAAAGAAAACATTTGAATACAATTAAATTATTGTCAGACGCTTTAGTGTCATTTTGTTATAATAAGCACATGGTAACTATAATATTTTTTTTTCCCAAGTAATCACTAACCTGGGAGGGAAATATTTGCACACTACTTCCTCCGACTATACTAATAATTGACTATAATGCTACACAATTGATTTCTACAATTGCGATTTCTATTATATTATTTTTTATTTCGAAAATTGATTATATAAATATGTATATATATATATATGTAATAATACAATTAATAGCAAAACAGTATTGTGTTCGGGATTGACATTTTTAAATTTATAGCGACATACTTGTCGGCTATCATGTCATTTAACAACCCGTTTACATTTTGTGTATGATCAGTAACATAATGCCATTTTGGTTCGCGTTTATCTCGGCTTTAGGGAATCCATCTTTTCTAGTTTAGCAAATGGCGTTTCTTAATGATTCCTTCCACTACTATCACATATTTTATACTTTTGAACAGTCATACCTATTTTAACAAACGAGCAAAGTGCGTGTAATTTCAGAATGATGATAAGTAATATGAGTTGTTAAAATTATACTACTTGTAATGCCTCTACGTCGTCTTCGTCTAGGTTCTGGTTATTAATACCATTCTGGTTTGGTCTTGTTATGATATTAGACGTTGTCTTAACGTTTGTTTTGAGAACTAGTCTCGAGATGGATGTCCCTGTGTATGCTAATAATTTGTGAAGTTGTACCAAAGCGGTTTTCGGTATTATCATAATTGTAGCATCTTGCACGACCTAAGGATATTTTGAATTTAACGCGCGGTAAACACACACCACATGTGTCTTGTGTGAGCGTGCGAAGTTGTTGAAAACGGCGATTACTGTATTTCCACGATAACAATGTATAAACGCGCTGTGTAGCCTTAAGACACAACGATGAATATAATAATAATATGCTAGCAAGAGTGGAGTTACCCGATATTTTACCAAGGAATTAATATAATCTAAACTTTGTCAACGTCTTAACTGTAGTTTAGTTAAAATTAAAAATTACACATTATAACTGTATGTGATTTAAATAGGATAGCCCAATTGCACATCTCGTATATGCAAAATATTAGACATACGCATTCGTAATTCGATTTTTTGCTTACAACTAATCATCCACTGACAAGATTTTTATTATGGCAAATTATATAATGCAAAAGCTGTTAATAATTATTTCTACAAGGATCTAACTTTTAGGGTTCAGGTTGTAGCTTTCAGGAAAAAACGGATAGATTATTTACTTTGATAAAATACGCAAAACATTTCCATTTATTTGCTACTATTCTAAAAGACTTTTGAAAACCTATTATGTCTTTTAGAAATTAATTCCAAAAAATCTTTTGTGAGAATGACGGCCGACTTCTGTGGCTGAGATGAAGCAGCAACCAACATTCGTATGAACAAGTAACAAAAGCATTTTTTAAATCATGTCGCGTAAAATATTTTACAGTTCAGTACGGTAGTGTATACCGACAAATGATAGTGACATTTCAAATGAAGTTCTTTGAATCAACCGCTATTAAATCAGTCGACTCACAATTATTTTATGTATACAGGGTGATCTGTCCATCGTAAGTCACTCATTTTATCAAGAAATAATTACAATTTTATATTTGAGTGCAGTTGAACAACACGCACAGATACAAATAATACTTAACCCATCTTTCCTCCGTCTTAAAATTTAAGCTTAAATAACTTTAAAAGTAATTATCGAAAACCGGTTATCGAATAGTCATCATTTTTAGCAAATTATTCTTATCTAAAAAAAGTTAAATAAAAACATACTTTTCTATTTAAGTTTCATAAGTTGATAGCGCTCTGAAAATACTTAAAAAGGTAGATATTTGGTAATTTTATGTTATTGTATCTACAATATGATAAATACAAGTTTTATCAAAAAGAAGAAATATTGTTAATATTTTCAAAGAAAATGAGTGTCTCACGTTAAATGGATCACCCTGTACTTGTAAACTTCGCTTTAACAAGTAATTATTGACAAACTTAAATGTAGTCGACTTGCGATTCCATTAAATATACTATTAAATGTTTGACGCTTAACCTTTTTGACAAATACCCATTATCCAATAATAAATGTTACAAATACTTCTGCATTTCCTCATAATAAGTACAACTGTAGAACCCCGCGGTGCAAACAATCTGACAAAAGACTCACAGAGAGAAATGTATTACTTTTAAACAAATAATATTAAGTTAGGTAGTTGATAAAAAAAATGTCTGAACTATTAAATAGTTTTTATATATACTATAGTGTGCGAGATGTTTGATAGAAAAGATTAAAATATGTTAAACATGCCCCAATTAGTTTTTTATGTTATATATTGAGAAATTAGGTAATATATAATACATATTGTTAGTAATAGTCTTTATAGATGTGTGCAAATATCAGAAAACACATATATACAGAATTTTGGTATGTCAAGTTAATTAAATAACTAGAATAATATGTCATGATAATATATTAACATTTTTTAAAAATGTATTAACATATAAATTTAAAACAAAATTACTTATGACATTTGTGCTATAGTTTACTGTAATAAAATGTAATTATCACTGAATAATCGATCGGGGTCGAAATGTATACTTCACGTTTATAATTACTTTTGAGTTGAACCGTTTAAATAAATATAGTATACGTTTCCCGCCAGAGAACATTATTCTTTCAAAACATGATATTGATTAAGTAAAATTCAAATTTGTTGGTTTTAATTTTTTTTTTTTGTTCTATAACATACATATTGTTGAAACATGATATGCACTTTTAACATTTATTTTATATATTATATTATAAGTAACGCGTTCCTGGTGAATACAGTACAATTATTATACATACATATTTATATATATATATATATATATTGTTGGTGACTATAGGTGCAACTTAATACGTGATTATGTATATTTCTACAATAGTATATGAACAGAAAAAATGGCACTTACCACCAAACGAGTAATCGGCCAATCCCAAAAGGCAAAAGTTGAGCAAAGCGATTCTCATCATTTTCATTTCTTTTTTTTTCCCCTTTGAAATAGAAATGTAGTGATACGTCTGCTACGTGCTTAGAACATATTTGGTCGGGAAAATAGTATTGTATATTTTTTTATTTATCTCGACCTGGGAACGCACGTGTAGTGAGCGTTTGGCTCTGTTTGCAGTAACGCGGGGCACTCGGCGTGCGTGTGTCTCTGAGAGCCGACGACCGGTAAGAGCTTCATCGGACGCAGTCATAGGGTGCTGCCACCGGACGATTAGTCTGAAGCGCACCACCGCGGACGATCTGTGTGTTATACGAGCTGACATTTCATTGTATTGTTCTACGGTCCGGTTAAGTCAAAATGCCACGGATGTACACGACCTTTTCGCTTGATGTGCACTAGTTCCAGGCAACCTTTATGGATAAAAAAAAAAAGCTAGTGCCAAAAGGTTAAGTCCGTAGGTGATTAGCAAGACTCGAAAAAAGTCTCGGGTGCAACTAATGAAGTTTATGGAAAATATGATTTTGCCATAAAATAATATTATTGAGTATGACTTACTGTTTCGTAAAAAAAAAAAACATTAAGCGATATTGCGTTGATTGATTGATAATTGGTAGTTGAATTGCGAGGTGTAGATTAGTTTGTTAGTAGTTTTGGATTTGAAAAATTAAACGTGTCAAGTGCAAATGATTTTTAAACAAAAATGTCTAGACATATAATTGAATGCTGCGCCTTACAATACAATTCGAAAAAAAAGCTGTACAAAGTCACAAAAAGTACTAAAAACTGAAATTAAAAATAATTTGTATTGTTATATTTTTGTAATCATATTATGTATTTATATATTTTTAATCTATTTTTTAATTAAAAAAAAAAATTATATTGTACTCAATATTTTTAGTCGGGTTATGAATTAAGCAAAATAAAATAATTTACACTAATAAAAAGATCAATTTAATGTACTCGATGGTATACAAAATTTATCGGTTCAACTGCGTTTAGTCTTCGCTTGAATGGGTTTTGATATAAAAAAAACTGGAAATCCGATAAAATATTTTATTGTCAATGTTTAAAGTAGCGTGAATTAATGAATAAACATTATTTTAGTAGACTTTTCTGATGAATAAATTTAAATCTTTAACAATTTTATTGAAAAAATATTATTTTATTAAAATATATAGTCACTTGATGGGATTGATTTTTAGTTGGAGGCGTTTCATTAACATTTTAACGCTTAAATCTTTATACTATATTAATTTTAAATTGCAAACACCCGTTATAATAGAGATAATACAATATACACTAATTAATAATATAAACTGATATAACAACATACATTCGTAATAGAAATAATACAATCTAAATAAATAAGCAATTTACATATTTTTTAACATGCTGCCGTAGAAAAACTCAGTTTGAATACAAAAATGCGTTATATTAAAATAATTATTGCAATATTCTATTTATGATTTAATATATTTATTAAAATTACTAATTACGTTTACTGAAGCGAACAATAAGTTGCTTTGTCTAGTACTGAGACTAACGAGATTCTTAGTCACATAACACTTAATTGCTGAGCACAAGTTTTACAATCAAAGTTGATAGTACCATTCTTTAGTTTCTATAAGACTGACTTTATCTTCTATTCAGGAGCGTAGACAAGTGATCGTTTCAATGATTCTTCTTTGAATATACTCTCAATTTTACCTATTCAATAAGATTGTCACAGAATCCAAATTATTCACATAAACTCCAAAACGGAACGCACCAATAAATATCCCCAAGACACGTATCACTCATATAATAAAACAAAAGTTACTCAAAGCTATTGCACAGTCGGTTTCTATAAACGACGTTCAAAGAACAAATTGCATTATACCAAGTTTCTTAGTCTCGTTAACAGTAACATTATTAAAATAATTTTATAAAACAGGGAAAAGATTGTTGTGGAAACCACGGTTAAATGTAAGAAATATGTAAGAGGCACTTTGGTATTTTTTGTTGTAAAATTATTAATTAGTATACATGACAGAAACTGAATGATGCTGCAAATAATGCTGAGTGTCCAGCATTATTGCATTGGCTGTGTTCATAAACAACAGAAAACCCGTATAGGTGAACCACAACTATTATTAAATAACATCTGCATCTGTTTATGTGTTGATTCATTACACGACGCGAGAGTACTGATTTTCTAATAACGCCAGACACATTTGATGTTGTAATTTAATCAACTATTCCAGTGACGGAAATTTAATATCAACGCACACATAAACTCGAACAATAATAATCATAGCGTAGCGCCATAATGGACTATGCAACATATTATTATTATTATATACATCTAAATCCTATAAGTGTGTAAATTTCATTTAATGTACATATACATAAACGTGCATGGTATATATAATATATAAATATACCCGGATACCTGGCTACAAGAGTATCGGGTATCCGCTATGTTTCGGGTACTCGTTATTATTCGAGTACTAGTTATAATTAAACCTTGGCAATACATCAATACTATCAATAAACTAATTTATACAAAATCTATAACATGAACGTTATAATTTATAAAATAAATTCAGCTTTATAAACTGTAAACTCTGTAGATTTACTGGCATCAAATTATATAACTATTGTACGAGACCACTCATATGAATATAATATAAAAATCAGAGCTGGCATTATTCGAATAAAAAATAATTCTTTATTTTTAATTCTATGATTTGATTATTCTTGATTCATCCCAATACTGACAATACTTTTCCTTATTTAAACTTATGTAGAAAAATAAAATAAAAAACTACAATTGGAAGCAAGTGATGAGTAAAGTGCTTGAGTTTTATCTGTAACTTGGTTTCAATATAATGCGTAGAACGTCAGTTTTCATTTCATCAAGGTGGTAGCAGGTGTCGAAGAAGAGTGAAATGATTGCTTTTAATTGGCCCAGTAACAATAACATTTTACGTTTTCGTTAAGGACGATTTATGACAATAGGGATAAACTCACTGAAGAGAATAAAACTGAACCGACAATTTAGTATATTGCTCAATTACTTATCCTCTTATTGCCGTCTACTACTATAATATTGTCTTATCGAAACGTTCGAAATAACTACCAGAATATATAGAGGACATATTATTTGCTCTCGAAGTTTACTGTAATTTAAGAATCCCCTTTGTTTAATCAGTTTAACGGCTATGTAATATTATACATTTACATTTATTAGATTTTATTTTAGACTTCCATAGAAACAGTAATATATGCCGGTGCGAGGTAAACGGAACCATTTTTAGAATTACATGTTTGTAATGGAGTGGAGATTTTCATCGTTGAAGTAGTTAGAAGTCTTATAAGTTATTTGACCTCTATTAATGAGCAAGATTGTGTATCTAATAGTTTCGATGCTTAACTAATTATGGGTGATGTACTTCAACGAGACATGAAAATGATCTTTCGTGGTTGCATTTTACTACACATATTTTTCCCCGAAATTACGATTCGTATAGTATTAATTTTTCCATAAACACTTAACAATAACATCATGAACACATTTTTTAAATAGTCTAATTTTAAAGGTCCTTATGTTTTGTTTTAATTTGTGTCGAATAATGGAGAGAAAACGATTAGTAAAATCCTTAACAGTAAGGATTTAAAGCGCTGTTTTGCTGTAACGGTGCAATCTACTGTTATAATGTGATTATGCGTTTAATTCGAGATTAGTGTACAGAAACGTAACAGTTTTGGTAAACTGCCAGCGTGTAGTCGAAATTAATATTATTATTATATTTGGCTTTTCTTTATTAATAAATAATCAGAATCTTGTCGCTGGAGCTCAAGCAGAGAGTTGATCTCTAGACAGTATCAATCGCGGTACATGCTTATTTACAATTTAGAAAGCAAGCTAACCTTCTTTGTCCAAACCAGGTAGACCGTAATTATTGGTGTTAGGTACCCGGCTTATATTCAATTATAACAATAATAGTGTTAACAGTATAAATATGTGTGTGAAATAAGCGAATTAAATGCAAACAAGTTTTGTGTGTACAAAACTAACAATATTTAGGTAACTGACGATCATTTTTTCCGTCGACAATAAAATTCAATTGGTTTTTAAAGAAACGCCTTTACGATAGTTTTGTCCCAATCTTTCAAGATTGTTTGCCCCTCGACCGTGTATGGTATTTCGTTAAACATTATGAAAACTAATTTACTTTTGAGGTCGTTCGCCTTTATTTGCAGTGCCCGACGTAGTGTTGTGTTCGCACGCGAAAATAGTTGACGTTTAATTTCACAGCCGATGCGTTCACAGAAGAATGTCTAAGTGTGATAAAAGCATGTTCGATAAAAGCAAAAAACATAAAATCATTATAAAACCAAAAGTTAAAACAAACCAACGGACGTCACACACCAAAACCACACGGATCTAAATTATTTGATCAATACCTTCTTAGTTTTTATAGAAATTAAAAACTAATACAATCTTATTTACCGTTCAGTTTTTTCTATCGAGTTACCTAGAAGCAGAGTAGGTCAAAAAACGTCAATTGTGATTCAATTCCGACAATGAAAAAAAGCTGTTTGTTTTTACTACCAAAAGTGTTTGTCAACTACAAAATATATTGTCCGTTCAAAGCAGATACGTGTTTCGGGGGTTTAATAGTTTTTAGTTGTTTTGGCGAAAGACAAAACTTAATGGATTCTTTTACCACTCATTCTAAGAAAACTATACACTACGTGAGTTGGGTCGAAATGACTTTCTGCATGATCGATAATTATATGCTTGTAGTGTCGTTAACTCCTAATAAGATGATATGTATTCGATTAGTGTGACTAATATTGGCATTTAATAGTTAATATTTGCTGAACATTTAAAATTTAATTAGACCCGTTTTAGTAAAAAAATCAATATACGTTAATTATTAACTAAATTCTGATATTTAATTAAGATCATTGTTTTAATTTATTACATAGCATCATCTAAAAATATAACTAATAATTAAACCATTGAGTAGTCTCCTAGAAAGGTACTTACTAATATGCTTTTACATGTTTATTTTACAAGCATGTAACATTTTTAAATAAAAGTTAAAATGTTTTATTCATTGTCGGTTATTCTGTTCATCATTCGGACAAATAGCAAGAGTAAATATTTGTCATTATACATTTTATGCCTGCCGTTGATGAGATTACGAAATTTGATGTAATTATATTCCCTAACAATACA